TTACTCTATCAAATGGTAAAAACCACAGCTCGATAGCTGAAACTGATCAAAAGTTATTGAAAAAATAGCCGTTGATATTTTAAAAAAACTCAATATTACTAACAAAACATAATTGTAATTTTTCATAGAAAAAGTTATTGTTGTTAATAGCAGTAAATTCTCACCCTTAAGTTCAAAGGTGACTAACTCTTGTTAAGTGTGCTCTTTCGATAGAGGTCATCTACATCTATACATTAAACATAAAAAATAAAAAAACTGAAAATTTTAGGTTAGGAGAATGGCATGCCTTCTTAACACAGTTTTCTTTCAGCACCTGTATATCGAAGAGAAATAGAGATTGCCAATTATGCCATTACTTTTGAATTGTACGTTATTTATTTTTTCGTTCTGCAATGCGAATATATCAGTGCAGGTATATATATTTCTCCTTCCGCGATGAGAATTGACGAAGGAACGAGCATTTAGTAGTAGAAGCTCTTCAGCGTAATACCCGTCTTTGAGTAGAGGAAATAATGAAAAGGTGAAAAAAAGAGCAAGCAAAATACGCGAAAACGGATCAAAAAGCGATGCCATACACTAAAAGTAAGAAAAAAAAAATTACTTGAAAGGAGCAATAAACAGTGTAAGTTGCGAAACATTTTAAGCAGCGACAGCACACAATTAATACTATTTAGTACACTGTGGCTTTAATCATGTTTTTGTCGTAAGCAAATCAGTACAAAAACTCGAAAAGGAAAAGAAACCATTTTGAATGTTATACATTTGCTGTCGACAAAACACTGCGCATATTCTAAACGATTCATATTAATTTTGAGTTTCCCTCTGTAATTAAATCCACTTAAAGCGTTCGATTTCTTAACTTATGTTAGGTACGAGCCATATTCCTTCTTTATTTATTTATGGCATACCAAAAGTAGTGGCATCGTTGTCTTAGTTCTTGAATAGAAGGCTTGAATAATTTCTTTTTTTTTATGTAGGGATAGAGGAAACAATGCTTTATTTTTCTGTGCCACTTGATCATTCCTCAACTAATATTATAATTAATAAAATTTCGATAAGAACTATTTTTGTGTGCATCTTCACCAATATGTCGGAACAACTAAACGATTATGCTTTGCGTTTCAATTTTTCTATCACTTAATAGGTCGTATCAGAAAAATAAAATATACCGCTGGATGCTGCGTCGAAAGCTGTACAATTTGTGTAATTTCATTTATTTTCAAGTTGTGTTTTTTGTTATCATAATTAGCAAGATTTTAACAGATCAATTTTCGATCTTGCAAAAATGATATATTTGTTTCGCTGCAAGATCAATTAAGTTTTTTCTTACTTCATGCTGTTATCACTTGATACTTTTTATTATGCAGCGCGACAAGGGCTACACATTGTATTAGACTGCTTATTTTGATTGCGAACTTCTTGTTTCCATAGAAAACAAAATTCTGTCTAACTAACCTGAACAAAGCCTTTGTTTTCCTATACAAAAAGAAATTTCTTCCTTCTTATCTGGAATATATTATAAGCTGTTCTTTGAAAATTTTAGAGCTTTTAACGCTGCATCTACCGGTATATCGTCTTTTTTAATAAAACCTATGAGATAGTTGAAAATTGAAATGAAAAAACTGAAAAGTATGGAAACATAATCTGCTTCACACATCGGTGAAGTGCTTTAAAAAAATAGTTATCGAAACTTTATTATTATGATATTAGTTGAAAAATAATCAAATGGGACGAAAAAATAAAGCATCCTTTTCTCTATTACTACATACATAAAAAAAAGGAAATCCACTAAAGACTTTTATTAAAGAAATAAGATGATGACGGCATTACTCTTAGTGTGCACTAAATAGTATATGCTTCATATCTGTTTGATCTTTTCATTCAACTGTATTCTATAATGTTATCTAAATATAATAAGATTTATTTGCTTCCTCATTTCCCTTCCTCCAGTCAACCATTTGAGTAATTACAGAAATGAAATAACAATGTGTAACTGTAAATTGAGTTAGACGGGACAGAAGTCGATTTTCTCTTTAATGACGACAATTCCTACAACAAGTCCTCTTAGAAACATGTGTAGTGATAATGATGAATAAGAAAGTAGGATTGAAACTAACGACGTTTTTTGAAATACTGCATGAGTTCATCATAGAAAAACAAGTCAATTTGCTTGCATAATTCGTATTACTCGCATCTGTTTAATGGAAACATCTTCCTGAGAAAGTGGTCCGTGTCTTCTGGAAGTATCACTAACTAGAACATTTTTTATTTTGTGAGCATCTAAAACGTAGTACGCTCAATTATTATGTATGAGACCAACTTTTGCGCAGCTGCAATTTCTTTGTTTCTGGTTATCTAGACAGCCATGGCTAGTGTATCTTCTGTTGATTCTCTTAAAAGTAGCGATAACGATCATCTTGAATTATTCAGTCTTGTCTGGCTTGATGTAAACGTTTATCACAAATCAAATCAAGATATACAGCAAAGACTACGACCAATCATCAACCATCTCGAAAGATTCCAGGATAAGGAAGAGTGTGAGCAATATTTACGAAGAAGACCAAAAAATGATCGACTAGTACTCATTGTTAGTAGTCAACTAGGTCGACATATAGTGCCTTCCGTTCAGAAACTTCAACAAATGTCGGCCATCTATGTTACTTCCACAGACCAGAAGAGCGATGAACAATGGGCAAACAAGTTTGGCAAGGTAGTTGTTCTTCAAAGCTTCATTCGTTTTATTCTGCCAATTTAGGTAAAGATCATTGCTAGTGAACCAGAAGAATTGATTTCTCGAATCAAAGCGGATCATAAGAACCAGATGAAGATGCAAGAACCATTGGCAATCAGTATGTTCATTACTAGTAGTGATGCGGGAAAATCTACAACCGGAATCAATGGTCAATTTGTTTTTTCTCAATCACTTATCGATTGTGTCCTTCGATTGAGAACCAATGAGAAGGATAAAAAAACATTTATTTCTCGTTGCGAAAGTGAATACAAAGGCAATCGTGTGGAACTAGACAATCTACGTAAATTCGAAAATGATTACACACCCGATAAGGCTTTGTGGTGGTACACTCGTGAGTCATTCTTTTACAAGACTCTGAATGCAGCTTTACGCAAGCAGAATATTGATATGATTTTCTTATGTCGTTCATTCATTGTCGATATATGTCGTCAGTTGCAATTTTATCAATCTCAACATCATGTCAGAGTTTATCGCAGCCAGTTGATGTCAATCGATGAGGTAAATTATCTGAAACAAAACATTGACGAGTTTGTTTCTGTTAATTCATTTCTTTCAACTACTAAGAAAATTGAAGTAGCTAATCTATATATGGCCGATAGAAACCATCAGAATGATCTAGAACGAGTTCTATTCGAGATAGATGCCGATCCCAAGGTAGTCTCGACAAAATCATTCGCTGACATCAGTACGCTTAGTCACTTTACGGAAGAATTTGAATTACTCTTTACACTTGGTTCCATTTTTCGTCTCAAGTTTGTTGATCAAGATGAAGATAAGAAATGGATAATGAAAATGTCCCTATGTGGTGAGGATGAACATAACTTGAAAGAAGTTCTTGCAGATATGAAGAAGCAAAACGGTACTGGAGAGACAAGTCTCTGGACATTAGGCAAGCTATTATGGACGATGGGAAAACTAGATCTGGCTGAGAAGTACTACAGTCGCTTGCTAGAAGAAATTTCGCCGAATGATCCTTCACTGCGCAATTTGTATGCTGATCTCAGCCTTATCGCTTCCCAGCAAGGTGATTATGACAAGAGTGTTCAATGGCGCCAAAAGTCACTTGAGATCAAAGAACAAGCTGCAGAACCTAATAGCAACAAGAAAGGTAAGGTAATTAAAATTATTTGTAGGTTTCATGAAATATGATGAAAAACTATTCAGTTATACCTCAGTGGAATAAGTGTACTCTTAAAAGGATGTGAATATTTTCCTTCTAGTTTGGCGCATCCACATTACTCATCTACGTTCTCCTCTGATGTCTATCATGAAATTCAAAGCCCACGAAATTTCCAACTAAATAGTTATGTTCTCTATTATCTACTCGTTTCTGGGGGATATCTTGGTATCATTTTATGGGAACCAATAATGAACTAAGGAACAGATTGGATGTTTGGAAAATAATATGCTTATGCGTTTAATAAATTTTCTGGAAATGTACCACTAGGGATATTTTAATTGCAAATGTGAAAAGAATGACATGCATGGCTGGGGATGTGTGTATGTGCACATGGTTGAACTGCTTCTTCCTACTAACACCCAAGTTCTCGAGTACTCGTAAATTCTTTTCTGTTAGATATTTAGTAAACGAGACTTTCCCGATACATTAACAATGAAAAATCGAAATCCATAAGAGTAATATTTTCAAATAAAGAGAAGATAGATTCACATTTAAATTACCTTCTTTCTGCTGAAAGTGTTCAAAATAATCAGTTGTGTAGTCATTAACGAATTTCCTCCCTACGATACAATAAATATAAATATATGTAAACTATCCAACTACAGCTCGAGCCTTCCTACAACGTTATTGTCTTAGTTAAATCTCAAAACTATACATCTTATCTAGAAAACTATGCTGTGTTACGAACAGTTCTTTAAATGTTGAAAACTCACTAAATCATTTTCTACGTTTTTTTTTAAAAGAGTACTCAAATTATAAACCTCCTGGAACTATTGTTTTTTTTTCAAATAACATCTTATCATAAATCGAGTACTTTTGCTGCGATGAGCCTATGAATTGACATTGATAGTTTCTGGTGTATATTTTTGATATTTAGATAAATTACATGACTTTATCCATATAGCTGACAATGATCTTCAGCTGCATGAGCAAATTGGTGTTGGGGCTTTTGGAATAGTATACAGAGCTATGTGGATCAGTAGACGTTACGTGGTTGCTGTCAAGAAATTACATCTCACTCATTTGACTTATAAAGCTGAAAAAGAGTTTTTCAACGAGCTTTCGTTAATGGATACCATTCGTTGTCCTAATATCATCAGTTTTTATGGTGCCTGTACAGAAGCAGGTAAGTATGCATTGATTATGGAATACATGTCATTAGGGTCATTGTACAAGATATTGCATGAAGATAATCTTGAATTATCATGGCGTGAACGATTATCGATTGCTTTTCAAGCAACGACTGGAATCAATTACTTACATCAATTAACGGAACCTGTCTTACATCGTGATATAAAATCGTTAAATTTCTTAATAGAAAGAGCCTATGAAGGATATACTGTCAAAGCATGTGATTTTGGTTTGGCTAAAACGCGAAATGAAACGACACATCAAACAGCATTGGATCCGACATTGGTCTGCACATTGCACTGGACTGCTCCTGAAATACTGCGTATGGCGAAACATACTGATAAAAGCGATGTTTATAGTTTAGGCATGGTCTATTGGGAGCTCGCTGCAAATGCGATACCTTATGATGGACACCAGAGTAGCGTCGTTTATGAATTCGTGCTACGTGGTGATCGTTTGGAAATACCGAAAACTACACCATCAAGTTTTTCGGCATTAATCAAGAAATGTTCGGCTCACGATCCCAACGATCGACCAAATTGTTCTCAACTAATTGAAATCATCGAAGAATGTATTACAGAGCAAAGTAATTTCTTTGGTGCTGCTCTTTCTTGTTGAAGTGAGACGAATTGATAGTTAACTTGCAAAAATAGCAGAACTAGGCGGGTTCTTTCATAATGTTCAGTTATGAGAGATATGTCGAAGTTGCTCGAGTGAGACTAGTGAACAAGAAAGACTGATAGAAAATGCATCTTCTACGGGAAATAAAGTATTAAGTAGAAAGTGTGCGCCGTCTTCACTTTGTTTTCGTTCCCTCAAAATGATATCAAGCTCATGTCTTCCATCAAACACAAAGGTATATTTCTTGATTTCTTTTGATGAAAAATCTATGAAATAATGATTATGAAATTCTTCAACAAGAAAATAATTCTTACTATCTGTTTCATTAGTACTCATGTGTGACACATTCTTGCTAAAGTTCACCATTCGTGATTTGCATTCGACTTACATAACTAATGCACAAGATGTTTAAACTGTTCCTCCGAACATGATACAGTGCATAATCTATCTTGAAGTTGTTTAGAAAAGTTTAAATTTTCTCTTAGAATGGAAGATTGCATATTTTTAGTAAAGAAGGTAACACATATACGGATTCAATTGAAGCTCTGAATGTTAAACTAATCAATTAAAAATATACGATGCCAATAGCATTTGTTTTTTTTAGTGATTAGATGGAATATGAGCGTGAGGAGTGTTGATTTGGATTGGTCTTTTCTCTTCACGTACATCTAAATCTGTTTCGGAAAGGATGAAAAAAGTTTCATTTGAAGTTCCTGACCCAGACCTATATCCGGCAGGATTGTGATAAATTTATTGAGTGTCTCATAGAAAAATTTTGCACTAAGTACCGTGTCTTATGAAAATCATTGAGCTTTGAGTATCAAATACCTAAATGCCGTGTTCTTCAACTTTATTCCACTACTGGCAGACTTTGTTTAAAGTGTCGATTACCCAACATACATAATTTCCAATAATACGTTAAAATTTCGTACCATTTTTGGCCATAACTGAGTGTAAATTGAAAACTAATAGCATCTTCGGAATCAACACAAAAATCTGCGCCCATTGCTTAAGCTTATCAGCTAAACTTCTTCTATAAAAAATGTATTCGAGGGCTTGCAGTTTCAGCTAACGGACTAATGACGTCACCAAATCAGTGTGTGCAGTGAACACCTTCTACACGAGTATACTGACACTTGCATTAATGCTCATTGAGGCACTCAAAGGCATCACGACAAATGGGGCATATTTTGATATAGCTGGTGCCGTAATGTTGTAGCAAACGCGAGCATTAGCACAACAAGTCCTTCCAGCGAACGCTTTGTCAATCACTGACTGTCGATATTTACATCGGCACTGTAAAGGACTAAACACATCTCTAGTAAATTTTGAGATTACTTCAGTAAAATTAATGGTGAGAGATTCTTATGTACTGTTTTTGTTTCAATATCTGTAAGTTAGGATGCAGCTCTATGGAACTCACGTATATTTTCGAAAAAAATAGTGAGTGTAAGTTTTAAGTTCGAGATTTTCCGGCTCTCCTCTCTCCTTCCTCTCCACCCCAATATAGACCTCAGCAATCTCAAACAAAAAAAAACTTCAGCTTTATTTAACAATAGATAAAGACTTGAACAGTATGAAGAAAATGAGTTTGACTGCTATACAGTATTTCAATCTTTTCATGATTATCTGAAAAAAGTAATATACACTTAATGAAATTCTTGATAATATAATTGTTAGCATTTTTAAGAATTTACTCTTGTATGCTAAAAATCAATGATGAACAGGGATAATAGGTATTAATCTATCGTACCGATGGTATAGTCAACACAAGAAACATGATTTGATCTTTTTATTAGTGTCAGAAGTAAACAATATCATTATTTATGAATTAATGGATGTATGTAATAGTGTCATAAGAATGGCTGATGCATATGAAGTGGATTATTGTAACACTCGTACTTATGAAATAATCGATGGTGAAAAAAGATTCAAAATAAGAAAATTACAAAAAAATTGATTATTTTCGAGTATACGACAACAATAATAAAAAAAATCGAGCGCACTCAAATGAAAAACATATTCACATTTTCAAGTGCAGAAATAAATGATAAATTATTATTCTTCTCGATGATGAGTTATGAAAACCACTTTCGTCGACAGAAATTTTTCAGTTTACAGGTAACATATGAGGATAACAAGCCTGAAGAATATACACGAGTTCCACATTTCAGCTCCTTTAGAGCTGCGCTAACAAGCTTTCTTGTTGATCCTAGTGAGCTACTGGTATTGCGCTGAAATTAAAGAATAATAATGAGAAACAATATGCATGTTCATATGCTTCTCAAGTTGAGCTAATCTAAGAATATGAAACCCGAGACATTATTTTTTCTCATAGAATTCAAGTTAGATTTACATAGGAGTTTGCTTAAACCACTTCAAACATAGTGACAACAATACCTTACAGTGAAGGTAAGGCTATGAGAGTGGATGCGAGTAAGAGACCAGAGGAAATTCTACATCTTCATATCGAGCTATCGTACTCTTTTCTATCCATACTTCCATGTTTTTCGTTTACATCCCCACCCACATCCAACAAAACCCTTCATTTTCTATGTTACAACCGGTAACATTCGTTTCTAGTTTTAAAAAGCCACTAAACAATAAGAGCCATCGAGTTGTAAAAGAAAATGATACTATAATCTATTAAGAACCAAATGATTGTTTTTTATTCTAGACCCTTCAATTACGAGTGCTACTGAACGTATCTTCGCAATCGAGAAGGTCAGGTGCAAATAGCTCGATAAAAACGAATATTCATGAAATCTCTTATACGTTTTAGATTTTAAGTACAGAAACTAGTGTTCAAGCAAAAAAAGGTAGTATTTCGTTAAATGTTGCATTAAAAGTAAAACTAAATAATAATAGTGAAGGTTACGTGAGCAAAATCGCCGTTCTTTCTCAGAGGCACTGTGCTCATGGAATAAATTCATAGATAATATGACCATATTTCGAAAGATTTTTCTGGCGTGCATATGGATCATTTGCAGAGAAACTCGATTCCTCACAAAAAATTTCATAACTAATTTATTGGTAGAATGGAAATATTCTTTATTAGAATAAGATTATGCCGATTTTGGGATAGAAGAAGCGCTATTACTGATGAAACTACGCTTTATTGAATTTCTTCCCCTCAAGAATCATGCCATTTACATACAAAGCATACGGTTATATACTCGTTGATAAAAGAGAATGAGAGAACAGGAAAGGATACAACAATAAGGGCAGAACATAAGTGTAATAGGATAGAGACAAAGTACAGTACGATGTACTAAGTAAGGACAGAAATATAAGGACAATAAATAAGATCAAAAGGAAATAATAAGAAGAGAGAAAACATCATGCATACAATGGATGCTACGGATATATTATACCCTCGGATGAAGATTGGATACTCACCTGAGCATACGTAACAACAACACGGAAAAAAATTGAATGAAGTGGAGACCAAATAGGAAGTACTGAAGTAATTCAAGAAGTGAGCAAAATGGTAAGAAATATGCATTTAAAAAGGGAAGATAAGATACAACAATGAAATACTTAATAAAGAACAACTGTTAAAGATGCAGATGAAGATATGACATTAATAAGACAAAATCAATAGGCAGCAGAAGCGGAACACTTCCACTGCATTCTGCTCATGAATAGATCTGTGACGTTTCAGTTCATCGGGGAGATAAAAAATCACAATAAGATCACAGCAGTACTTATAAGTTTGGATGTTAATGTCAATTATAAGCTAATAATAGGTGGAACGATTGTCATATTGATATAAATTGATGAAATTGATCAGGAAAATGAAAGAAGTACTGAATAATCGAGTGGATTGGAACGGTACAGCACAGGTCGTACAGATGTTATAAGGAAAGTGTGTTGGAATTACGCACAGCCGACTGGGATAAAGCCGCTCTTTAGTACGTTCGCTAACATTCAGTAATATTGCTGCTCACCTTCAGCAGCATTACTCCCCCACACCATCTCCAATGATTCGATAGCTCAAACATAATCGTTATCATTATTTCATTTTATGTTGAGTTAAACAAAAAGCGATACGATATTGTAAACCAAGATGTAAACACGTGACTTCGAACAGATGATAAGCTGGTTTGATAGCTAGGATCGCCAAATGTTACGATTTTAGATGCAATTGGCACAGCTCAAGAACTGTTATCTCAATATTTTATTAGTGTAAGTAAAAACATCGTACGATGCTATATTTTCTTCGTTCCTTATGAACTATTTCTTAGCATTGAAGGAACTTGAAACATACAGTAAGCACAATAACAGAAAAATATAGGTTTAAAGATAAAGTCAGTGATTAGGTTACAATTATGGTTGGTACAATGTATGAGAGAAGGACGTGGAAAGTGAACAAACGGAAAAGAGTACCGAAGTTATTACTATTTTGTATGAGAAAACGACAAAACTAATAATATTAGTACAAAGTACATATAGAAAAGAAGGATGGAGGTATGGATAAACAGAAAGCGTATTGTGGTTATTTCTATTAAGGAAAAGTAACAACTTACACGTTGTGTTTCGCCGAAAATTTTTTTCTGATCACAGCTCACCTGTGATTCCCAACAGCTATATATTGAAAAGGGAACTTTTTCCTTGGTCTCCGTCAGATCCATTTGGATCAGGAAAATTTTTCAGCTGAAATGTGTATGATGGAATATAGTTTTTCATGCTGATTCCGAATATCCCATTTATTGTTTTCTAGCACTGATCTATGACAAAAAGAATCTCTAAAAATGTTCATTTCTCATAAAAAAAACCATCAAAAATCATGAAAAAATTAGACAGTATAAACCATTATTCCAATTCAGCTGAAACTTTTTTTCAACATTTTTTTACCATTTTGTTGAGAATGAAAAACTGTACAACGTATATAAAATTCAGTCTGAAGGTCTCTCAATTCGGAAGCATAACACGAGTTACAATGACTTTTTGGATTTGTCAAAAGAGCTACCTCTGCACTGGTATTCGCTGTAGAA